ATTGGATTTTAGAAATAGGACTCAACATACCAGTTTTGCTACTATGTGATATTGAGCAAAAAAATCCTGTTTACTTAAATGTAGGTAAAGGTATTGTTTATTTGCATTTGTTAGATTTAAGCTTCCTATGCCAGGAAGTGATCCAAAATAGATGGATTGATATTCTAGTATTATTTCATTTGAACATAAAAAAAGAGAATTGAGGGGCACCTGGGTGGTATGGTCGGTTAAGTGTCCAACTTTGTCACAGGTCGCGATCTCCTGGTCTGTGGATCTGAGCCCTGTGTCGGGTTTTGTGCTGACAGCTCAGAGCCTGGAACCAGCTTTGGATTCTGTGTCTCCCTCTCTCTCTGCCCTTCCCGCACTCATGCTCTGTCTCTGTCTCTCTCTCAAAAACAAACATTAAAAAAAATTAAAAAGACAATTGGTTAACATTTTACATCCAATTATTTTACTGCCAAAATGGTAGTGTAGACAATGTAGTCTAATGGTTATGGCTCTATAAATAGATTGTTCAAATCCTAGTTCTGTCTCAGTAATTCTTCATCTTGGGCCAGTTTCTTAACTTTTCTGTGTATCTTTTTTTCCTCATCTTTACATAGGCAGTGCTGTAATAACATCTGCCTCAAGCATACATGCTATTATTTGTTTAAAGAGAACATAGATGTGGTTTCAACAAAAATAAGTGTGATTTCAACAAAAAAGTGATATTACTGGCTGTTTCAAGGAAGGGAGACAGGTTAACTTGGGGACAGGTGTGAGAGGAAGGCTTTTCCCTATCAATTTACTACATCTTTTGAACTTTGATCCATATGAACATGTTACCAGCTCAAAAATAAGTTAAAAGTTTGGAATAGTAGTTACATTACACAGCTGTAAGGATTAAATAAGTGAATACATGCAGAGTCCTTAGAATACTTTCTGGAATATAATAAACAATAGTAATGTTAGCTGTCATCAAGATCATTATTATTAGCAATGACACTGGGATTTGAAAGTATTAAATACACTGTGCCTCTGTTGTAATCAGGAAAAATGGAGCGGAACCCTATAATGAACTTTGATTAATAAGCTCCTATAATGGAGCTTTGATTAGGACAAGAGTTTGTTTACAGGTGAAAAAAGCTCAGGTAGTTCTGCTAAACTCCTAATTGTATTCCTCTTCTTTATAACACTCCATCCCAGTCACTGTACCAACATGTTCGTGCACATGGACAGCCCATTATCTTCTCTTCCCTGTTAAAGAAGAGAAACACTTCTCTACTTTCTCTCTACTTTCAAGAAACACAACTGTCAAGCGTCAAATAACTAAAAGGTAAAGTGGGCCAAAGGCCGCTATGCATAGGAAAAGGTCATTTCTGCAAGTAACACTGTAGGAAACCTGATGATCGGATGAGGCGGAAGTTGGTCTCAGGATCCCCTTATGCTCTTAACATTATTGAGCATCCTCACATCCCTCCTCCTCCTGAACTGGAGCCGCCCTCAGTACAGAGATACAGTCTTTTAGTGCAGTGTTTTCCAGTGACAAGTTGTAATCTTAGTGGGTCATCGTATTGGTTTCCTGAGGCTGCCATAACAAATCACCACAAACATGGTGGCTTAAAATAATAGAATTCTCTCACAGATTTGGAGGCCAGAGGTCTGAAATCAAGTGGCAGTGGGGCTGTATTCCTTCCAAGAGCTCTAGGAAAGAATCTGTTCTTTACCTTTCCAGCTTCTGGTGGCTGTAGGTGTTCTTTGGCTTGTGGCCACATCACTCCAATCTCAGCTTCCACATGCCTCCATTACTTCTTTTCTCTTGCCTATCTCAAATCTCTCTCTCTGTATTCCTCTTATAAGAGGACTTGCCATTGAATTTAGGACCTACCCAGATGATCCAGGATGATGTCCTCATTTCAAGATCCTTAATTACATCTGCAAGACCCCTTCTTTAAGTAAATTAGTAGTCACAGGTTCTAGGGATTAAGATGTGGACATATCAGGGCACCTGCATGGCTCAGTCAGTTAAGCAACCAACCCTTGATTTCCGCTCAAGTTGTGATCTCACAGTTCATGAGTTTGAACCCCAGATCGGGCTTCATACTGTCAGACGCTATCAGCACGGAGCCTGCTTGGGATTCTCTCTCTCCCTCTCTCTCTCTGCCCCTCCCCGGCTCACACTCTCACTCTCAAAATGAATAAACAACAACAACAAAAAAGGATGTGGACATATCTTTTGGGAGCCACCATTCAAGACATTGCAGTAATAAAATCATGTTAGTGCACTGAGAAATTTTTTAATGAAATAAGACAGAAAAGTATCGGTCATAGTATAGTATTTAGTGAAATTTTTATGTAGATCATATTTATGTGTGTACACTAGGTTACCATGTAAAATATGTTTCTTACTGGGAGTCTTGGTTTCACAAGTTTGAAAGCCACTACCTAATATTACTGCATTATTTCACTGGTAAAGAAGTGGTGCAAAGGAATTTATGTAACATGCTGAGATCACATAGATCATAGAACTGGCATTTTTTTCCTACTATACCACGCTGCCTTTAACTCTGTCTTGGATTGCCTTTCAGATGATTGTGTACTTCCTTCATTTTTCTCTATGCTTAACTCATCTTTTCTTGTTCCTTTTATTTTATTATGAAAAGTTTCAAACCAATACAAGTAGATAGAGTATATATAATGGACTCCCATGTACCCATCACCCAGCTTCAACAGTTATCACCTCGTGGCTTCTTTCATCCAAATCCCCGTTCATCCTCTCCCCAATCCACCCCACCCCCATGTTATTTTGAGATAAATTCCAGGTCATATCACTTCATCTATAAATATTTCAGTTTATATCTCTAAAAGTATGTGGTTTTAACATAAGCACAGCACTATTATCACACCTTAAAGAAGTAAACATTACTTCTGTAATCCTATTAAATATGCAATTGTCCAAATTTCCAATTTTTTCGTAATTATAGTAAATAGTATGAGTGGATACTTGATAGACAATTTGTTGCTTGAATCAGGATCCATATAAGGCTCACATAATACAATTGGTTGATAAATTTTTTTAAGGTTTTCTTAATCTACGGATTCCTCCTTCCATCTCTTACCATCCCTACCTGCCATAAAATTTATGTGCAAGAAACAGAGTTCTTTGTCCTGTAGTATTTCCCACATCTGGATTTTGTTGATTACATCCCTATATTGTCCTCTAGCAAGTTCCTCTGTCCTCTGTATTTTTGTAAATTGCTTGCCTCATCTTTATTAAGCTTTCAATTTATATAGACTGGACATATTCCCTAATATGTATTCTGTACATTTTCTAAACAGATTCCAGGAAATACTTGTTTTGTCCTTTTTCTTATTTTTTCACTATTTTTAACTGTATTTTCATACTGCCCAGAAACTTTTGCCATTTTCTGTATTTTTAATCATCCAAAAAGCTATAATTTTTTTCAGTAATCCTCTGAAAATTTAATTCAGAGTTAACATTTAAGATTCTTAACTCATCAAATATATACACCTCATTCATTCACACTACATAGTCCCTACAAAAACCTTTAACTTGATCCAGACATCACATTCTACCATTGTAGCGATTGTAGGTTCACAAGGAGATTTTACAGTACTGATTCTGTTTTTGGGATCAGCAGAGAACACCTACTGAGCAGCAGGATGGAGGGATAAGAACAAAGATTTCAAAGTTTAATAGATTTAGGCTTGAATCCTGGCTTCCTCATTACTAACTGTAACATTGCACAAATTACTTCTCTGAGTCTGATTCCTTTTTTGTAAAAAAGCAATGATGATGGCAGTTAAAATCCTAATTCCTTAATTTGGTATACAAAGCTTTCAATGGTCTGATCCTTACCTTTCTAATCTTTTCTTCCTCCATCAACACTGACCTGAAACTCTCTTCCCCCTACACACACACACACATACACACATGCATGTATGTACGCGCATACCCAGTGCCTTCTATGACTTCCCTTTTGTAATCTCATTTATGATACCTTCAACACCCCTCTTTCTCTTTCACTTGGCTGATTCCTTTTTTTTTTTTTTAAGATTTTATTTTTAAGTAATCTCTACACCCAACTTGGGGCTCTTACTTAAAACCCCGAAATCAAGTTGCATGCTCTACCCACTGAACCAGCCAGGTGCCCTCGACTACCTTATTCAGAGCAGGCATCCCCTACCTCTAGAGTCCCACACCAACACCCCTTTGTGTGCGCCTCTGTGTTCCTCAGAGCACTGTATCTGTATCTATATCATATTGCACCCATCCCACAGTATTGTTTCAGTCTTTGTGCTCTCAAAAAAACCTTGTGAATGAATCCACCATGGTGTTCACCATGTAGTGCTTGAATGTTTTGTCTCACCTCCACTAGACTGTATATTCTTTAAAGACCAGAGCATATAGTCCTCATTCTTTTGTCTTCTTCTAGCATGTGTTCCAGTCGCATGCTTAATCTTACTGAATGAATGCTAATAGTGTCTGTTGTATACTATGATGAAGCATTTTTATACCTTATTTTATCTACCTCTAACATTCCAAGATTCAATGAGATATCATGTTTTTTTGTACTTCATATATTCTCAGTAAAAATGTTAACTCTCTTTTTCTGAATTTTAGGATACAGCTTCTTTTTCTGAATTTTAGGACACAGTATTTCTGTGAAGTACTTCCTAACCCCTTTCTTGCTTTTGTTTGTTGCCTTCCTTCTGTTCCCATAGTTCCTTATTCATACCATAGTCCTATTCGGTATATATGTACCTCTATTATACTATAGTAGACTGAAGTCACTAAGGGTAAAAATGGTCTCATTTCTGTTTTCCCAGGGCCCAAGACAGGCCCTAACTGGCACAGAGGGAGGGCCATATAAATATTGAAGGAGACACTAATTTGCATTTTTCTAGAGCATCCAACTGCTAGAGATCGATAAATGTATATACACTGTGAGGACTTTCTTGATTATTGTTCCATTCTACTCTCTTTATTTTTCCTTCAGGATTCATGTCATGTTCTCAGCGAAGGTACTCCCTCCAGCCCATCCCAGAGAGGAGAATTCCAAACCGATACTTAGGCCAGCCCAGCCCCTTCACACACCCACACCTCCTTAGGCCAGGTAAGCCCTTTTAACCATAAATCTCTCTCTTTAGATGCTTTATTTAGAACTGTGCTGTCCAATAGATTTTTTTTGCAGCAGCAGTGTAAATGTTCTAGGTCTATGCTGCCCAATATAGTAACCACTAGCCACAAGTGGCTATTATATACTTATAATGGTGCTAGTGCAACTGAGAAACTAAATTTTTTATTTTATTTTTATTTTTATTAACTTAATTTTAAACTTAAAAAGGTATGTGTGGTTGTTGGTACGGTGTTGACATCGCTATCTAGAGCAATAAATATAAGTCTTACAATTCAGAATTATCCATGAAAAGTATGTAAACCATAATGCTTTAAAAGTTATATTACTTTCTAAGACAGTTGCTAGAACTGTATTCAAATGATTGATTCCTTGTGAACTGCTGTGTTAAAGACATTTGAGAAAACATGTTTTTCTTGAGTGCCCAGTGGGCTCAGTTGGTGGCGCGTGCAACTCTTGATCTTGGAGTCGTGAGTTCAAGCCCCACATTGGGCTTGGAGCCTACTTAGAGAAATGAAAGAAAGAAAACGTGTTTTTCTTCAAAGTACTAAATGTTCATTTCCTTTTGTTTAACAAAAATATTGCTGTATAGGTTACACTAGATTTCCAGATTTGATTTTCACAGCTTTGGGAGGTGATAACAGTGACAAAAAGGCAGTTAAGGGATGAACTGTGGTGAATGAAAATCATCACAAAGAGGTAAGTAGGGTAAAACCAAATGCTTTGTAGAAAAAGCAGTCAGGTTTTCAAGGGAAATTAATCATTGCTTCTGTCATGGGAAGGTAAATCTGTATTTACTTTGTGAGCATATGTACTAAGAATCTAAATTGCCTTTAGAAATATGTTACTCTTTCACTGTCTCCACTCAGTGAATGATACCAGTGTGTCTCTCAGTGAGGGCTTCCTTTTGCTGATTCTTCATCAGACTGGAATTCCTGCTGGGAAATCGGCTGAGACTCAGGAAATGCAGCTCACCACTGAAACACACAAGAAATCAGAGTTTTTCAAAGCTGTAAGGTAAGCTTAATAGCAATCCAGTTAGTATTAACTTAAGTATTTCTCTAATCTGTCAACCTACCTGTAGCTTCAATTTTTTTTAAAGGAAATAGAATTGGCATTAAGTTTTACCAGCTTTGAAAATTACTGATTTCTCGTGGTGAGATATTTTTACATGGTGAGCTGCATTTTCTAGGCCTTGAAACTAGTAATTATATTGTCAAGATGATGGCCTCTGTGTCTTAAACAGTTGGCTATTGTATGTTATGTGCATGATAACTATATAAAAATGATTATGAATAAAAATACATATACACATTCATACATATACATATGTTCTTTTCAGCTATGGAGGGAAAAGGGATGCCTGTCTTAATTTTTACTCTTCTGGACATAGGATTTTAGATATTGGGCTAAGAAGGAATAGAATTTTAACTTTTTTTTTAATGTTTATTTATTTTTGAGAGAGACAGAGACAGAATGTGAGTGGGTTAGGGGCAGAGAGAGAGGGAGACAAAGAATTCGAAGCAGACTCCAGGCTCTGAGCTGTCAGCACAGAGCCCGATGCGGGGCTCAAACCCACAAGCCATTAGATCATGACCTGAGCCGAAGTCGGACGCTCAACAGACTGAGCCACCCAGGTGCCCCAGAAGGAATAGAATTTTAAAACAGAATCATCAGGATTAAAGAAACCAGATATACAATTTCTGGAGGCGAAAACTATATAAGTATCCAAAGTATTAATCATTTGTCTTTTTCCATGTAGATATGGAAGTGGTAAAATGGTTATGGAGTGGAGAAAGAGTAAATTATTAAGAAAAATTAAAAGGGATATAATACTTTTTTAAAAATTTCTTTCACAGAGCCAGTCTGTTAGTTTAGAGCGTGAAATTATATCCTCCGCTACTTGGTTTGCTTCTAAAAATTTCATGTTTGGCGTAGCTATTTTCCTAGTACTTATAAGTACTTAAAACTTTTGGAAAACACCTCAGTCCCTTCTCTAATTATTACACAAGGTCTATATAGAAAAACTAGAGAATACAGATAAAATACAGAATACAGATAAAATTTTTTTTAATTACTCAAAATCCCTCCACTCATAGAAAACCGCTATTGATATTTTGGTATATATATCTTTCTAGACTTATTTCTCATATAGGTGTGTGTGTGTGTGCATGTGTGTATGTATACACATGTGTACACATTCTATACCAATCAATTATTTCCTTAAAATAAATTCTTAGAAATGAAATTCCTGGGTTGGCTCTTTCTGAAAGTTGGGGAGCTATTTCCTCTGGGTTTCTCCTGGCTATATCTACCTAAGTTTGCTGAAGCAAGAGTAACCTGGAAAATATTCAGCAGAATGGCTCAGAGATAAAGGAATTCTGTCCTAGTTATGCTACTACTGCTTGAGATAGAAATAAAAAATCAGATTTCCCCAAGTCCTGGTGATTTCTAAAACTTATTTCCTTAAAGAAATCAGCATTGTAGACGATTGATTGATTGAATGATTGATTTTTAAGTAATCTCTACTCCCAATGTGGGGCTCAAACTCACGACCCCAAGATCAAGAGTTGCATGCTCTACTGACTGAGCTAGCCAGGCACCCCCTCTCCCCCATTTCTTTTTTAACATTGCCATCCTGGTGCTAAGGACTGTGTCTGTAGAGCCAGAAAATGTCAATTCATCCACCTTGATCACTAAAATGCCCTCCACTTATCACCCAAGCCAGAAAAAATGATTCCATGAAGGAAGGCAAATGACACAGTTATGAACTGTGAATCTACTTTTTATAATATTTGTGTGAGAAAGTTCTCTGACATTGCCACAAGAGCAACGCAGTCATTAGAATAGCAAGGTGTTCAACTCACATAAACACTGCAATTTATCAGAGAATAGGAAGAATTACTGCCAAATGAAGCATTATTTCCAAGAACATGTATTTCTAACATTGTTACATTCCTAGACACAATAATTTTGGATATGTAATATAGTTTGTAGCACCTTAAGAAAGGGCTCTTATTTAGAGAGTTTGGCTTATCAGAATGACTTGTCTGGCATATCCAGAACTGGTTATTGGTTTTCTTTCAACTACAACAGTGAACAGATCCATTGGGAAGTATTCAACTGTATGGCCCACAATTTGGGAAAATGCTTTTACCATTTACCTGATCCCTTATCAACTATGATGGCTGAGACTATACAGTTATTGTCAAGTATTTTGTTAAGTAATATTTAAAATGATGAAAAGAGTGGTTCTAGAGTGAGTGCTAGATAATAATTCCTGAATCTTCTTCCCTTAGAAGCGTCCAAACCAATTAGGTATCCATCTTTCAGTCATGGTTTAGTTGTAGTTCTGCTTTGAGCAAGGGGTATGTTTTGGTTTTTTTTTTTTTTAAGTTTTGTTAAAATGGTTGACTTTAAAAGATCAAGATTTATTTTGGTGGGGTGAGATTTTTATACTATTTAAAAGATTAAAATATATGTTCAAGAAATGATGGAAATTAAAAATGGTCTGAATCTGCCTAGACCATTGAGTGAGTTTTTTCAAAATATAAATACATACTAGGATCCCATAGACTTACTGAATCTCAAGGGAAGGGCTTAGGCCCTATGTTTTGAAGAGCTCCCTGGGTGTTTCTGATGCACACCCCCTGCCTAATGGGCACTCATTAGATGGGTGCGTGAGATGCCTAAAGCCAGATCTTTGGCCACAGGCCGTATTTTGAAGCGGAGTGTATCATTACTTTTCTTATGTCCTCATCCCCAAACACTCAGTTCTTAAATTTATTCATATCTTTGAGAGAAAGAGGGACAGAGCGTGAGCAGGGGAGGGGCAGAGAGAGGGAGACACACAATCTGAAGCAGGCTCCAGGCTCTGAGCTGTCAGCACAGGGCCCGACGCAGGCCTTGAACCCATGAACCATGAGATCATGACCTGGGCCGAAGTTGGATGATTAACCAACTGAGCCACCCAGACGTCCAAATTTATTCATATCTTTATCATCACCACCATCACACATTTACTGAATGATCTCTTTGTATTTATGTAGCCATTTCAAAACACTGTTTATACGTTATGTCTGATAAGCAGAATAGTAGTATAAAAACATTTTATATTCTAGAGCTTCTAAATTTAAGTTCAGGGCCTACTTTTTCATAGATATTTTACCATGAAGTGTACCTGTTTTTATAAAGTAACATATTTTCTTTTCTCACTTCCTGTGTACCTCTGGAATTTTAAAAATAACGATATATTCGTATTGATTATTCATTTTCCCTTTGTCTTCATCTTCTGAAGTAGAGTTTTTGTTTTTTTTTTTTTACATCCAAGTTAGTTAGCATATAGTGCAATAATGATTTCAGGAGTAGAATCCAGTGATTCATCCCCTACATATAACACCCAGTGCTCATCCCAACAAGTGTCCTCCTTAATGCCTCTTGCCCATTTAGCCTATCCCACCACCCAGAACCCCTCCAGCAACCCTCAGTTTGTTCTCTGTATTTAAGAGTCTCTTATGGTTTTTGTTCCCCTCCCTGTTTTTATATTATTTTTGCTTTCCTTCCTTTATGTTCATCTGTTTTGTATCTTAAATTCCTCATATGAATGAAATCATATATTTGTCTTTCTCTGACTAACTTCACTTACCATAATCTTCTGAAGTAGATTTTAATGCAAAATAAAGACCAGAGTATTTACATATATAAATTTACAGGTGAATAAACCTATATATTTAACCTATATGTATATGTTGATTACTCATTCCAAAGTACCATTATACAGATAGCTAGCTCATAGAAATTCCATAAACAGCCATCTAGTACAGAATTATAGAGTATTTCTGTTTTTTAATGCTGGGAGAAAAAAAATTTTGAATTATAATAATGTTCCTGCAGCTTAAATACTGGTACATTAAGAATAAATGACTTTTCTGTTTCTCTTTAACCTTTGTGCATATTTCTCATTCATATCGAGAAATTCT